TTATGTTACCGTTGGGTAGTTGATTTGATTTATCCAGATTTATTACCTCTAAACTGCATGAAAATAAAAGAAAAATAATAATAATAAAATAAAGGAAATAAATACGACAATGGATGATTATGAAATAATGAAATAAAATTACCAGCTTAAATATACAAGAATGGCAAGAACAGAAACAGCAAGAAGATCTCTTCTGTTTATCCTGATTTTTCAGATTGCGCTGCTCTAACATGATGGCGTTCTCGGGCGGTGGGACCCGGTAGATTTGATCTTTCGGGACCTGAACGACGTATGTCCCCGAATGGAAAACGGGTCGTGACGAAACGGGCAGGGTCGTACCGTTTTCTGCAACCTGGTCCGGGATCCGAATGTCATCGTTTTTTTCTTCTTTTTCATCGAGAATAGAATTCTTGCGATCCTCCATACGAAGATATGGAGGACGCAGATGAAAAAGAGATCAGGTTGAGGATTGTTAATTTAAGAGGTGCACACACATTTCACATTGGTTGTATGTGTAAAAAATAAAAATAAAAATCATTTTCAATTTTCTCTTAATTACTTATATTATTTTATGTGTTCTTACCAGTTAATTATTGTACATGTTTATCGTCCACACAATTTGTGTATTTGGTACTAGATAATATGCGTGGAGTAAGCATAGAGAGACAACATAATATTATTACATCTCTCTAATTATAAATTAGTTAAATTAAATTAATATAATATGGTACCAAGACAAATTCCAATTTTTCATTAGATTGATGTGTATCAATAATTTTGTAATAAATAATCAAAGTCATAAGTTGTGCAGTAGCTACAATATTCAAACCGGACAAAATCGACCAGGATAATAGGAGAGAATCGACATTAATCAGTTCGAGACTCAGAGTAACTCACTCATTCATCTCGGCCTTCTCAATCGAGCTTTGAAAAATATTCAAATCCTATTCGACAGACAAAATACAAAGGTTTCTGCATGAGCAAGACCAAAGACGAGATAACTAATGTTTCATACATATCTATGGTCCGATGATCGACACATAACAAGATAATGAAGGTACGCAAAGCATTCACATTAACGAACTAGAGATGCTTCGGCAGGATATCATAAATCGTAATTCAATTTAGGAGTCTCGTAAAAAGAACTTATTAGTTGAACGTCGTTTTAACACAGTATGAGAATAGCTACAAGATAATAGGCACAAGTACCTTTGCTCGTTCGATAAGCTTCCTCTAGCTGCTACAAAATTAGCCGATGACCTGTCAACCTCTTAGCTAAATGACTTTAATCCAATCTTGCTACAGAGTCGACCTCTTTTTTCCGAGCAAGCACGCATTTTTTCATATAAGCTTCACCAACTTCATTGTAATGAGGGCCGACAAATTTCTCGAAAAACTTATTGTCCGTCATTTTGTACAGAGCCGAAAAGCTAGGCCAATTCTTTATCAGATTTTTGCGTTCCAAAATTTCCAAAACTTGAAACCGTGGCTCATACCTCTTCTCGATACTGCGAGTCAGCGAAGTTGGATTTTTCACAATGCACGAAAGATCGTATTTTCCGGTGGCAAGAAGAAACCTTTCAAGCTTCCTAATTTTCTCCTCCGATATGCAAAACAGCAGCGGTTCAACCCTAAAAAGCCTCACTATACCTTCTTCCGAGAACCCTAAATCTCGAAAGGCCTTCAGCTTGTGCTCCCACGTGTCGTTGTTCATCGAACTAACTGCACGAACTGAATGAACGAACATTTTGGAACTCCGATTTGCCCCCAACTGATCAGCCCTAGCAACGAATTTCTCCATATTTTCCGGCTTCTGCAGAAGAAACCTCGGGAAATAATACATAAGCCAAATGATCTTCTCCGTGGGAATGCCGCAGCTTATCAAGAAATTCATATTCGGCACCAAAGTTTTATCGAGATCCGTTTTTAAATACCAGCCACTAACCCTCAAAAACTTGGCCACTTCGGCAGTGGACCCAAGCAAGCCTTTCAGAATAGACAACGAGGGAATGACCCTCTTATCCGCGCTCGAATGCAGAATCGAGGGCTCTTTCGAGATCATTTCGACGATCTCGTTGGCCGAAAAGCCGATTTCCTGGAAAATCTTGATTTTGGGC